GGGGACCATTTTTTATTGTTTCCCCACCCAAGACTATACCGTGATAACAGCAATTTTCTGGTAATCTTATGAAAACATTTCAAGAAATTGAAAAATTCTTAGTTTTTTATAAAATGAATACATGGAGGTGGCACACATAGTCTTTGAAATCAGTATTCATTACAATCTTTTTGGCCCCCAAAATTCACTACAGTAAATGAAATCTGGCAATACTTTTCATTTTTACCAGTGCAAGAAAGCCTGAAGGAAAGAGTACATACTTCAAAGGTCATCTGGTGGTTGGCCAAGACTTCTAGGTATAGATTGTTTTTAATAGTCCTGGAAATACAGTTATTAAAATGTGAATGGCCCTGCTCTGAGGAGCTAAGGATGACTGACGAACAGTAATCATCAAATATCCTAGGAGGCAAAGAAACTGCCACTCTAAAAACCAAACCGTTTTACAAATTTTTTTTTTTTATAGTCTATTGCCCCTAGGCCACAAACCTGTACAGCATGTTACTGTACTAAATCCTATAGGCAATTGTAACACCATGGTGTTTGTGTATCTAAACATGGGAAAGGTGTAGTAAAAATACTATACCTTTTACTATAATAGGTCCACCCTCTAATATGTAGTCCATCACTGAGGAAATGGTTTGTGGCCCATAACTGTGTATAGAACCATATCATATACATGTATATACACACATACACATATATAAATGCCTGCTACTTATACATAACTATAACCATAAAGTTGCTGTGTTGTTTTTGTTTGTTTGTTTGTTTGATTTTTTTCTCCTGGCTGGGAGTCTCTCTTGGCTCTAGAGAAGAAGGCTAGGCTGACCAGTGGGGAATTCTGCTCAGGGAGACTGATGGAGTACCCAGAGTTGTGAGTCCCACCTAAATCAAAGGTTAATGAAATATCAAGTAGGATGTGGAAGTACAAGGTTCATTAAGCCCAAATGTCACTCAGAAGATACTTAGCGTTTACTATAGGACAAACATTGGGCTAGGGCCTTAATAGTGAACTAACAGAGACTCTGCCCTAAATTGATAATATAGCAGGCTTTCAAACAGGCAGTTATATGTGCTATGATAGAGTTAAGCAGAGAATGCTACAGAAGCATGTACGAACAGTTAATCTAATCTCTGTGGCTTCAGGAAAGCTCTAAGGATGGAATGTTAAGACTTCTGCTACAAGTTAGAATACAGAAAGATGCATGAAAGCCTTTTACATAGTGGTAATAAGAAATAACCAGATAAAAATCATACTTTTTATGGGGCTGTTGAAAAGCCATGTATATAAGACCTTAATGAAATAAATTCTACAGTCATGCCTATGTTTGGAGGAACATAGTTTAACAGAGAGCTGTGGCATTGCCATGCCCAGGGAGAAGGGCGTGGTCTGGATACAAGTAGATGGAAGAACAAGCCTACAACACTCTAGGAGACTTTGCAGAGTTAAGGAGAAGGTGGCTGAGACTTTGCCAGTGGTATAGGCTGGTGAGACAGACTTGGATCTGGAAGGACCTCAATCACAAAAATAAATCACTTAGGCCTACATCCCACACCCAAGATTGCTAAGAAAGCAGCAATGGAAGAAATGTTTTCAGTAAGTAGAGAGAATTCACTGAATCTTGCACATTCTTACAGTGCTTGGATTCCTGAGCCCTGCTAAAGCTGAATCCGAAGGTGAACCAAATGATCTGAAACTATGGCCCATCCCTCCCTCTCTAACACAAACACTGACAAGATCCAAGAGCTCAGTCCTTTGCAGGAGGTTGAATTGAATTAACTGCAGCTGAACTTCATCTAAAGCTGCAGCCCAGCATCAGCTCAATTCAAAGTGTGAATGAATCTGAATGTTCCATTTCTCACTGAACTTTCCGTTCTTTTTTTCACAATGTTCATAATAAAATTAAAAATTATAAGACATGCTAAAAAGCAGGAAACACAACCCATAATTAGGAAAAAGTTGTCAATAGAAGCAGGCACATAGATGAACCAGAAATTGGCATGATAAGGACTTTTTAAAAACTTATACATTTTTTTTAATATAGAGGAAAAGATGAATGAAGGGAATTTCAAGAGAAAAATTCCAAAAAACAGATTTTTAGAACAAAAATATATCTGAAATCAATTTATTAGATGTGTTTTGGAACTAAATTGGAAACTAGAAAATACTTGAAGATAGGTTGGTAAGAATTATCCACACTGAAACACAGGGAGAAGTAAATGTTTTGGGGGAAATGAGCAGAGCACCATGATCTGTGGGCAATATTAACCAGTCTAACATAAAGTATTTTTGAAGTCCCAGAAAAAGAGAAGAATGACAAAAACGTTTTTTGAAGAATTAATGGTCAAAAATCTTTCTTTCAAATTTGATTTAGAACACCAACCCACAGATCTGAGCAGTTCACCAAACCACAAGCAGGATAAATACAAAGAAAACCATACCCATACCCCACGCACATTATATTCAAACTTGAAAACCAAGGATAAAGGAGAGAAGAGATGTGAAGAGTGAGTAGGAGTTAGCCAGGCAGGGGTTGTTGGGAAGCAAGGGAGATTGTTCCAGGCAGAAGGAAGACAACATCTTGAAAGACCCACACACTGCAAGCAGTTCCAGGAATTGAAAGAAATTATTTGGGGCTAAGGAGAAAGTTATAACAGTGAGAGTTAAGGTTAAAGAAGTGGCCAAGAGCCATAGAGAGGACGTGTGAGCATATTAAACTGAGGGAGATGGGGAACGAAATTATATCCTGGGTAATATAATCAGATTTGTCTTTTTAAAAATCACTGTGGCTACAATGTGTGGAATAGATTGGAGACACAAGATGGAGGCAGGAAGAAGCTGTTGCAGTAACCCAGGCATAAAACTGTGTCGTACAGAACTTGAGATATGGCAGTAAGGATGGAGAGTTACAGATTGATTCAAGAGCTACTTAGGAAATAGAAGAGGTAAGATTTGATGAATGACTAGATATAAAGGAGGATGGAGTAAAGAGTGACTGTTAGAGCTATGTAACCTTTCCAGGCTCAGCCACCTACCTTCAAGTCACATTCATTACCTTGTACCAAACAGAATGTCCCAAAATGCAATTCTGATCATGCCACCCCCTGCTTAAAAGCTCTTCAGTGGCTCCCATCATTTTTCTGCTCTGGATCTTTCCATGACTTCCCATCACACCCAAAGTGAAAGCCAAAGTCCTTATGATGTCCCATAAAGCTCTGCATGATCAGGTCTCCACATAACTTTTATCCATCATGTCCTTCAGTTCCCCACCTTGCTCGCTCTGCTTCAGTTATACTGGCTTCCAATGTAAGATCTGGGTTAGATATATAAATGTGAGAAACTCTAGAGAATGGGGACATGCGAAGCAACCAGCAAAAGAAACTAAAAAGAAATGACCATAGTGATACAAAGAAAATCAGAGAAGATTTGCCTCCTTGAAAGAAAAATTAAGAAAGTTCAATCAGAAGGTGATCACTGTAAGGTTAAGCTGTGCAATGTGCAACTTTAAGAAACAATACCCACACCCAAATAATTGCTACAGATGCCCTGTGGATCACATTAGATAAACATGGACTATAGTATCAAATCTGGCATAAAAGGCCCTTAAATGAAATTTTTCTGGCTACGTCTCCTGAAGCAGAATAGGGTCTGGAGGCAGGGAACCTAAGGCCAATTCACGCTGACTTCCTAGAACTAAATCAAAAGGTAAACCCCAAATTTCCACACCTAAGTAACAAAAGGAGCAGCGACTACTCCCTTTGCAAATCCCCACCTTTTCTGACAGGCAGATGGAAATTGAAGGTACCTCAACCAATCAGTCTGATTGCGGACCAAATCTTCCTTTGCATAGAAGTGCAACTTAGTAACATCACTTTAGCCTCTGATTGGTTGCTTTCCACAACCAATCAGATGTTTGTATAGGAGTGTGACCTTTGTAACTTTACTTCAGCCTCTGATTGGTTGCTTTCCACAACCAATCATACTGATTGTGGCCACCACTTCATTTGCATGAGGAGAACACCAGTGGCCAATGGGAAATCTCTAGCAGGTATTTGGACCTAAGAAGATTCTGTATCCAGTACACTGTGGAGAGTACTTTGGTTTTCAATAAATCTTTGCTTTTGTTGGTTCATTCTTTCCTTGCTTTGTGCATTTTGTCCAATTCTTTGTTCAAAACGTCAATAACCTGGACACCCTCCACCGGTAGCACTCTTACCTCATTTCCTACCATTCTCCATGTATGGGATTACTTGCTTCAACCAAACCAACAGGGCCAGGTGCCAGTGGCTCACACCTATAATCCCAGTGCTTAGGGAGGCCAAGGCATGAAGATCATTTGAGCCAAGGGGTTTGAGACTACGGTGAGCTATGATCCTCACCGCACACCAGACTGGGTGACACAGCGAGACCCCCATTTTAAAGTTGCCAACTTGGTCTTCATCTTTTCCATGCTCCCTGTAAATGGCAGTCACTTCCGTAGGTTTGTGCCTCACCTCTAGTAGTTGATGTTTTATTTCATGTTTTAAAAACCTTTGGAAGGCCAGGCGGGTTGGCTCACGACTGTAATCCCAGCACTCTGGGAGGCTGAGGCAGGAGAATCGCTTGAGGTCAGGAGTTCGAGACCAGCCTGGGAACTGGTGTGTATATACACACACACCCTTTGGAAGTAGGTCTTATTTCTCATTCTTCAGAGCATAAACCTCCCCAATGCAGCAATCAAACTCAATCTTTGTTTTCACAGTAAAAGCCTAGCAAAGTATATATGACACTTAGGATTAAAAAAAAAAGTTGTTGCTCAAGGAATGACGGAGCCGTTATATAACAGACAGGACTAAGTAGGGGTAACCTCAAAGGGACGCAACTTCTGGCTTTGTTTTGTTTTGTTTGCCTCCTAAGATTTTACTGCTATAACTGCATCCTTGCACCATCGCGAAATTGACGTCACAATCTGGACTAAAACTACCAATCCCAGAATGCCGAGCGAGGAGGCGGGCTCTCCGGAAGTCGCCGAGTGATTAGTGAGCGGAGGCATTTTCTTCCGGCGGGAAGGGCCCCGGAGGCGGGGACTTGGGGGGAAAGTTGAGACGCGATTACCGGGTTGGTCGGGCCCCATCTGGGAGGGGTTTGTGGGTGAACTCGGGGTCTCCCGCCCGCAGAGGAGATGGATGAGGACGGGCTTCCTCTCATGGGGTCAGGCATAGACCTGACCAAGGTTTGTAAAAGACGATACTAAACTCCTCCACTGGGAGGAGGATGGGGAAGACGCAGCTTCCCGGGGAGACCACACCTTCCGGGTCCCCACTCTGTCACGGCCCCGGGCCCTTCTGCCGGCCTCAGGAGGCAGAGCTCCGCAGTCCACCTTCAAATGGGGTCCCTCCTGAACTGATTAAGGAGATGGTGTGCATTTCCCAACTTTCGCTTCCCATCTCCCGTGTCTCTGTGCCGCCGGCGACAGACGCCGGTTGTGATAGCTAGCCCTACCTCTTTTTCAGCCCCCAAGTTTTTATGTGTGTTTATGTGTGTTGCTTCTGCCTGCCAAAATTCGTACCAGTGAGTCTAGAGCCTGTTCTCAAACTTTTATGCACCTCTGTCGTCTTCGGACACCCCACCTACAGTTTAGGAAAACAAGTTAATGACTATTCCCAGTCCTTCAAGAAATTCGTATCACACAGCAAAGTGCCTCGTGATTATTTCCAGATATGAAAAGGTTTGCACTGTGTACGTTCCTCCTGTATGAACCATGTTTGTTTTTACGTAACACAGGTGCCAGCTATTCAACAGAAAAGAACGGTGGCTTTTCTAAACCAATTTGTGGTGCACACTGTACAGTTCCTCAACCGCTTTTCTACAGTTTGTGAGGAGGTAGGTCCTGTGATACTGGTTTATAGAGTCGCCTAGAAGTCACCTTGCACTGCTGAGATTGACAAATGGAGTAAAACAAGAATTACAGTCTTTATTCATGTATCATGACCTCTCGTCACCCAATTGTGTTAACACACCTTAAGTTCTCTTTTACTCTGTTACAATCAATCTTGCAACCCTCCTCTACTGAATTAGTGTTCTAGAGGTCCTTGTGAGATAGTTCAGTCAGGCTTATTGCGATTAAAGAGAACAATAGGAAATCTAAAATTTCTTTTTTTTCTTTTTTTTTGTGAGACGGAGTCTAACTCTATCACCCAAGCTAGAGTGCAGTGGCGCGATCTCGGCTCACTGCAACCTCCGCCTCCCGGGTTCAAGCGATTCTCCTGTCTCAGCCTCCTGAGTAGCTGGGATTACAGGCATGCGCCACCATGTCTGGCTAATTTTTTGTATTTAGTAGAGACGGGGGTTTCACCATGTTGGTCAGGCTGGTCTCGAACTCCTGACCTCAGGCGATCTACCAGCCTCGGCCTCCCAAAGTGCTGGGATTACAGGCCCGAGGCACCGTGCCCGACTTCTAAAATTAGTTGAAAATAGTTTTTATTTTGATATTTGTTATTCGTTCTCGTACCCCAAAATAGTTTTTATTTTGCTATTTGTTATTCGTTCTCGTACCCCAAAACCACATTGTTTATATTAAATTTATTTTACATTCCGAATCTAAAAGATGGCTAGAGGAGATAGGCTGGAAACATAACTTTGGCATCAAATATGATTATAGAAATAAAAATATTTTCTGCAAATGACTTGTAAGGATTAAGTATCCAACTAGGGACTAGGTGCCAGAGCTGGCACAGTAGTGTGCACCTGTAATCCCAGCTACTCGGGAAGCAGAGACAGGAGGATCACTTGTGCCCAGGAGTTTGAGACGAGCCTGGACAACATAGAGAAACTCAGTGTTTTGTTTTTGTTTTAAAAAAGAGGATAGGTACAAGATCCAGGATCCAGGGACTCCCTGTCTTTTAAAAAGCCAAAAAAGAAGATGGGGAGAACAATGGGAACCATTGGCTGAAATTGCATTTAAGGAAAGAAAAGTAAATTATGGGGCTTAGATAATTCACAAGTCTGTTGAACATTCTGCCTTATGTAAGGTATAGCCTTAGCAATTAGAGTTTGTAGAGGATTTTTGCGTCTATGTTCATTGGGGATATTGACCTTTGGTTTTCTTTTCTTGTAGTGTATTTGTTTGGCTTTGGAATCAGGATAATGCTGGCCTCCTAAATTGAGTTTGAAAATTTTCCCTCCTCTTCAGTATTTTGGAAGAATTTGAGAAGGATTTGTATTAGTTCTTCTTTAAATGTTTGGTAGAATTCAGTAGTGAAGCCATCAGGTCCGGGGGGTTTTGTTTAGTGGGAGACTTAACTACTGATTTGATCTCTTATTATTGGTCTGTTCAGATTACCTATTTCTTTATGATTTAGTCTTGATAGGTTGTATGTGTCTAGGAACTTATCCATTCTAGGTTATCCAATCTGTTGGCATATAATTGGTCATAGCAGTCTCTTATGAGCCTTCATATTTCTTTTGTTTTAATTGTAAAGTCATGTTTATTTAAGTATGAGCTTATATTCACTAAAATTTACCGTTAAGTATGAGATTTGACAAATTCATAATCATAACATAATCAAGATGTAGAATAGTTGTAGAACAAGGTGTAGAATCACTCCAAAAATTCCCTCATGTTCCTTTGCAGTCACCCCTTTTTTATCCCTAGGAATCTGTTATTCTGTTTTCTGTCAAAAGGGTCAAATTTAATCACTACAGTGATCTCTGGTACTGTGGAAAAATTCCTGAGCACACAAAACACACAAACCAAATTTTTTAAAAATGAGATACTTACAAAATTTCTTTAGCATACCAACCAAATGAAGGTAGCTTCATATTTTAGTACAGATGCTCAGATATCTTAGGCAGAATTAAGTCCACCATTGCTGTATATATGCCTCAACAGTAATATTTAAGAGTAGACTATAAAAATAAACTTACAATCTTTAGAATCATCAAAACAATGGGATTATTAAATAACCTTTGTAAGTTAAAGCAGAGTTTATAAAGTTGTCTTCCATAGTTGTAAAATAGCTAGTCTAGTTGGATAGAATTAATGTGTCCTAAAACTGACCTGCTTGAAGAACTAGTCTAGGTCATGTCTTTGTAGGTAGAGTATGCTCTTTTGTGTTAACACTGTCTCAAGTTTCAGACTGGGGCTGGTTGATAGAAAAACTAGTTAAAAAAAAAAAAAAAAAAAACTATTTTAAGTAATGGAATTGAATTTTATGGAAATTCTCTATGGCACCAACTCAACCACAGGACAGAAACAAAAAATTCTTATCTAAACATTCCTTATTAAACATTGGGACCATCTCAATTCACCCCAGCTACCACCATGAAAGAGACAAAGAAAGCAAAAACTTGTGTTCTGAATATATCAGTGGTCCCATATTCAAATACTCCTTATCTACTTGAAAAGCTTTGATGGACTGGGCACGATGGCCCACACCTGTAATCCCAGCACTTTGTGCCCACGTGGGCAGATCACCTGAGGCTGAGTTCGAGACCAGCCTGGCCAACATGGTGGAACCCCATCTCCACTGAAAATACAAAAATTAACCAGGTGTGGTGGTACACGCCTGTATTCCCAGCTATTTGGGAGGCTGAGGCAGAAGAATCACTTGAACCTGGGAGGTAGAGGTTGCAGTGAGCCAAGATCTCGCCATTGCACTCCATCCTGGGTAACAGAGCAATACTCCATCTCAAAAAAACAAAACAAAAAAAAGAAAAGAAAAAAAGAAAAGCTTCACTGATTCTTTCAAACACACACCAGACCTTAAGTTCATCAGCATTTTAACGTCACTGAGCTGAGTTGCGCTCTGTGGCTGTAAAAAGCAATTCTTTGTATTTCTGTGGTATCAGTTATAACATCTCTTTCATTTCTGATATCATTTGAATCTTCTCCTTTTCTTAATCCAGCTAAAAGTTTGTGGATTTTGTTTATCTTTTCAAAAATCCAGCTCTTAGTTTCATTCATCTTTTCTATTGTTTTTCTAGTCTCTTTCATTTTTTTCTGTTCCGATCATTATTATTTTTTCCTTCTACTAACTTTGGGTTTTATTTGTTCTTCTATTCCTTGAGTTGTAACACTAGGTTGTTTATTTTGGATCTTTCATCTTTTTTGTTATATGTCTTTATTGCTGAAACTTCCTTTCCTCTTAAAACTGCTTTTACCTGCCGGGCGTGGTGGCTCAAGCCTGTAATTCCAGCACTTTGGGAGGCCGAGACCGGCGAATCACAAAGTCAGGAGATCGAGACCATCCTGGCTAACACAGTGAAACCCTGGCTCTACTAAAAAATAAAAAAAAAACTAGCCAGGCGAGGTGGTGGGCGCCTGTAGTCCCAGCTACTCGGGAGGCTGAGGCAGGAGAATGTCATGAACCCGGGAGGCGGAGCCTGCAGTGAGCTGAGATCCGGCCACTGCACTCCAGCCTGGGCGACAGAGCAAGACTCTGTCTCAAAAAAAAAAAAAAAATTGCTTTTACCACCTTCCATAAGTATTGATGTGTTGTATGTCCATTTTCATTTGTCTCAAAATATTTTTTAATTTCCCTTTTATTTGACCTATTGGTTGTTTAGGAGCATGTTATTTAATTTCCAGATATTTATGATTTTTTTTCAAGATTCCTTCTATTATTGATTTCTAGTTTCAAACCAGTATGGTCAGAAAAGATACTTGATATGATTTCAGTTTTCTTAAATGTATTAAAACTTGTTTTGTGGCATATCATATAACTTGGAGAATGTTCTGTGGGCCCTTGAGAAGAATGTGTATTTTGTTGCTGTTTTATTGAATTCTCTACATATGTCTGTTAGGGCCAGTGTTTCATTACTGATTTTCTGCCTGGATGATCTGTCTATGGTTGAAAGTAGGCTATTGATATCCCCCATTATTATTATATTATAGTCTATCTCCAGATCTATTAATATTAATATGTTAATATATTTAGGTGCTCCCATGTTAGATGCATGTATATTTACAGTTGTTATATCTTCTTGATGAATTGCTCCCTGTACCATTATATAATGACCTACTTTGACTCATTTTACAGCCTTTGACTTATAGTCTGTTTTATCTGAAAAGAGCAACTCCTGCTCTTTTTTGGTTTCTATTTACTTGAAATATTCTCTTCCATTCTTCTCTCTTTCTTTCTTTCCTTTCCTTCTCTCTCTCTCTCTTTCTTTCTTTCCTTCCCCCCCTCCCTACCTCCCTCCCTTCCCTCCCTTCCCTTCTCTTTTCCCTCCCCTTTCCCCTTCCCTTTCCTTCCCTTCCCTTTTTCAGGGTCTCCTTCTACATCCCGTGCTGGAGTACAGTAGCGTGAACATGGCTTATTGTAGTCTCAACCTCCCAGGCTCCAGCTATCCTCCTATCTCAGCTTCCCATGTAGCTGTGACCACAGGCACACACCCCGATGCCTAGCTAATTTTTTAATTGTTTGTAGAGACGGGGTCTCACCATGTTGCCCAGGCTGGTCTCAAACTCCTGAGTTCAGGGGATCCTCCTGCCTTGGCATCCCAGGATTACAAATGTGAGCCACTGTGCCCAGCTCTTTTCCATTCTTTCACTTCAATCTATGTGCGTCCATTTTTTAAAGGTGAAGTGAGTCTCTCGTACACAGCATGTAGTTGAGTCTTATTTTTGTATCTTATTCAGTCAACCTGTGTCTTTTGATCAGAGAATGTAGTCCATTTACATTCAAGGTAATTATTGATAGGTAAGGACTTACTGCTGTGATTTCGTTCATTGTTTTCTGGTTGCTTTATAGATCTTTTGTTCCTTTCTTCCATTCTTGCTGTCATCCTTTGTGATTAAATGATTGTCTCTAGTGATATACTGTGATTCCTTACTTTTTATCTTTTGTCTATTTACTATTAGGTTTTTGCTTTGTTGTTCC